TTGTATATAAAATTAAATGAACTAATTCCCCATTAATTAAGATTAAATGCTCCTAGCTTTCATAATTTCAGTAAAAGTGCGGAAATTGTTATCAACATAATGATTATTTAGTCATAATATCTACATAATCTCGTCTATCATTAACAGTACACATAAGCCTAAATTGGGCCTATACAGTTATTGAAGTCTAAATGTTATTTAGTTATGAGAATTTCAAGAGTACTTTGTGCTAAACATTAATAAAAGATGATAAAACAGATTTTAAACAATTTTCTGGATAAATCATAAATTAAATATACTACATGCTAACTATATAGTGGGTGTCGAAATTAGTTGGGCATTTTAAAGTGTATAGATTTTAACAATGTATATTTAACTTATGATCTTATTCATTAATTATCTGTGCTTTTTATTAATTAGTTACCTTTTTTATTACTAGATACTAATTTCTAGCTTATATCTTACGTTTCGCTGAAACGGAGGTTAAAAGCTAGTTAGTACTTAATATTTTCACGTTAACCAATTCTAGAAACGTTTTTATTGTTATGTATTGTTAGACATATTTCTGTATTGATATACTAACACTTAATGTTGTGAAAACCAAACGTGGTCAATTTACAAGTGACAGATTTAAATCCAATATTAGTGGCCATGATAAGCAAAAAACAGTGTTGTTAATTAATACTCAAATACATCATTAGTTCAAACCAACATAATATTGAAAACTAATGTAATTAGTTTTCAAAAATTTGTTACCTATTTTTTGTTTCAAATATGATATTTGAATAAATGATCAGTATTAAACGTTTTGTTACAACTGGTGTACCATTGTTATTGCTTGATTAGTAAACTTTGGTTGTTTCTTTACTGTAGTTATAATTCAACATTGTGATATTTATAATTTTCAGTCATATTTCAAATTTTATTTTGAAGTTCCTTTTACGTATAAAATTATAATGATATATTATCTTAACGAATATAATTCAGTGTTAGATATAATAGAGTTCCGTTTCTTAAAGTGAAGCAACTAGAGATTGAACTAATGTATTCCAATATACAAAACAAGATTCATACTTTGGTTTAGTGGGGTTCAGAACCCGTAGGTCCTAGTTACCAAGTGCACTGGTCAATTTCGGGTGCGCGTGAATTTTTTTTGTCGTAATTCACCAATAATCATTAGGTAGTAACAGCACCTGGGATTTCTCTGATTCTTAGAAAACAAAACAGGAACAACCATTTGTTATGATTTGACACTTATGAAGGTATTAATATTTGGAACAAATAACCCTAATATGAAAAAGACCTATCTTAAAAACGGGACCGATATTATATCTAACAAAAACAAAACAAAATTCTAAACCAACCAACCTTGGATGCCCTCAGACCGAGATTGGACAACCGGTACAAACTAACATGAATTTGGTGTAATTCGTCCAGTAATGTCATTTTAATATGCCTTTACAAAGTTCATGTTTATATTGCTAAATCATACTTCAATAACAATATTACTGATGATGGAAAGATGAACTTTAAAAAATACATGCATTGAACATGAAAAAGTTACATTCTTATCAAAACACTTTATTGCATTTCTCTTCAGTCACATCGGAAATTCTTCTTACATTTATATTTTGTACCAATTAAAAAGAAAAACAAGAGTAAATAATATTAGCCACCCCTATTTTACAGAATGGAACTAGTGACAAGTCGAACAAAGTATGACGTGTAGTAATTCGATTAGCCAAATATTTTGAAAGTTGTTCAATTAACTATCTGGTGTCCGAATATTATTAACTATTCACTTGTAACTAATACGTTTATCTTCTCTATAGTCATGTTTTAACTTTAGGCCAATGAATGCAACAAAATTATTCAAGATCTGGCTTGCAAAAAATTTTACAATTTCATAAAAACTAATGAATAATGTATTAAATTATCGGTCGCAATTGAAAATAACGTTTTATTTGGCGCTAACTGTACTTTGCTATCAAGAAATTAATTCCGTGAAAGCTAACTATTTCAGCAACTTAAATAGTAAAAATAAATGCGTGTTTTAATCCGTTAAAAATATTCCTAGAGAACAACATGCAAACTGAACAATATATTTACATTTTATACTGGAAGAAATATTAATTCTAAACAAGAGGAGGTTTCCATAGCAATTTTCAAGATGTTTAATAACTTGTCACTTGCGTGACCATCAATGATAAATAACAAAAGAAAATTAAACTAAAATAGAATTTACTACTTTAGGGAGAAAAGAGGGAGGGGTTGGGAAAGAAGGATTAAATTACGAAACACATAAGTTTACCACTTATGGACTGATAAAGACTTCATTAACGGTGATTGATTTCTTTGACATCATATCTAATGTGTTCTTTAATTTATTTATCAGGTAAGAAACCCAAAACACTAATTTTTATATCAAACCAAATACTATGAAATGGAAAATATCAGGTAGGTAGGTAGGTCTACCATTTTAAGAAACTAAAATAAAACAATATGCATGAAGTGCTGTTAAAAAACAAAGTAACAAATCATTTGAAAGAGTGAGAGAAAGCAATGGATTCATGTGAAATCGTTTTGGTTTAATTTTGATAAAAAAAGACGAGAATAACTCATGTCGTGAAACTTTCTTTTCTTTCTTTATTTTTCAAGGAAAATTGTATCTAAAGCTTCATGGAATTCTTACCATTAAAAACAATTTAATCTTAATCTTTGTGTTATACTTAAAGAGCTCTCAATAATCTAAAGTGCATGAAATAGTCTATTTTATTTCATAAGACTGAAATTTATTAGATAATTAATCTTTTAATTTATGGAATGAAAATCACTGATATTTTCAGAGTTAGCTTTCAATAAATTATAAATTGAACCAAGGGTAAAAAATATGTTTTTGGTTGATTGTTGAGATAACTCTTATGAGTTCTGTATAGTATGTTTAGGCTAATTGTTGCACTCATTTCTGTTGATAGTATATCAAATGTTTTATTTGTGTAAGTTTTGAGACTATAACAAAACATTTGTAGCCATAAACCCTTTTTAATAAAAAAATGTCAGTGTAAATATACTATACTACATTGTTACCATAACCAGATGTGATGGGGAGGGGGGACATTTCATGCATAGAAGATGAGTACACAGTTAAAGGGATAAAAATAAGTTAAACTTTAAATTATCTTTAAGAAAATTAACCATTGGTCAAAATAAAGCAACTTATCTTTTCAAAATAAACTCATGATTAAATAAATAATGATAAGATACCATTCACTTCATATTTTTTAAATGACAAAATTTTAAACTACAAAGTAAATTTAAAATTTGCCTGTGTTTATGTAATATAACATGTATTTTCATGTGTCATATGATACTTCTGTATTAGTGTCATTACTTATAGGTCAATTACATGAGCATTGGGAACTACATTTTTCATTTCTAGGTTGTGAAAATCCCTTGACTTTAATCTATGTTTCTAAATCTTGCTTCTGTACATCTGAAAAGAAAAAAAACTAAAACACTGACTACAAGAATAATCCACAATACTCTTTGGTCTTATTTCCAAAAGATCTGGACTGTTTTAAAGAGAAAAAAAAAATTTATTGAAATAATCCAAGTATGTATAAATCCACACATCCAAAATTCAGCAAAACTATGTAGTCCCAAAGTACTGTCTGATGGTTTAACATTGAAGAGAAATATTTACTGGTTGTTTTTACAGTAAGACCTTGCAAGATGAAGCCATACTGATATTTTAAATTATTCTTGGCCTTAGGTAATTTTTCTATTCCAGTATCAAGATATACCACCATCTCCATTCTAGGAATTCTAATCAAACTTCTATGAAAAGAAAACACTGTTTAACTAACAAATGACAGTCTCCTGGAACGTAAGCCCCGTTAAGAATGTTACTTACTTTATACACATCAAGTACTATTGTAGTTCTTCAGAAAGATAATTTTCAGTTAATGACACACAATGAAAGACAATGTAATTTCTCAACCACAAATATCTTTCCAGAACTAGTCTAGGAGAAATAAAAAACAACAGCTGATAATTCAAATAACAGAAGCTTTCAAAAGAATTATTCATTCCAAGCAACATATAGAGTATTTAAGATGTAATGATGTAACTAAAGTAATGACATGTAAATTAAAAAACAAACAAATTTTCCAAACATAACACAGGAGCATTATCTGTAACTATCAAGGAACTCCAAATTGGTCCAAGTCAGTCTGAACTTTAAGATAATGTAGATATAAAAACAACAAGTAGCACAAAAGCTTTATATACTTAAGTATATAAATCAATTTTTGCATGTTTCTATCTAGTTATAATTGAATTTTACACAACTAAAAATGCTACTTCAGCTTACAGATACAACATTACTTATGTCATAGCTTAATGAAACAATAATCTTAGACAAGACACAATAAAGATTCTTTATGAAATAATTCTCTAAGTGTTACTTATATATTAAATTCTAAGAGTGTTTTTTTTTGTTATTTTTGAATGATTTCTTACTTTCAGGTAATGTTCAATAATCAAACATTTCTCTCAGAATTCTTGTAAACTATACAACTTTACGTTTTCACCATTTAACATTGATGATAATTACTAGAGGGATAATATAACACTTTCTGCTTATCGAGATAAATCCACACTACATATGAAGTACATAAAGTCAAAACATCAACACTACATAAATATAATTTGTGTTGTGTTTACTCTATTAAGCAAAAAACTACTTTAATAGATGGCACCATTGAGGAATTACCAGAAAGATTCTAAACAGTAGTTTACTTTTTGAAACATTTGTTCTACATAAAAACTTGAATTTATTTTCATTATCTGTTCAAGAGAGGCTGTCATTCATTATCATTTCATCAAACTACATTACATTTTAATACAAACTGTAACCCACCCCCCAAAAAAAAGAATATTAAAACCATGAAAAAAAGGTTAAGCACCATTTATTAGTTTCAAAAAAAGTCAAAAACAAATTAATTAATAAATATTTTACAAACAGTTATTTGCAAGATCGATTTAAAATAAATTATAAAAAGTTTTGCATCTTAGATAATACAACAGTCTTTCTAAATGTTATATTACACAGCTCTAATGTGATCTTATTTTGTAACATTTGAATAATCATAAAAATCTACACTAATTTACTATAGTAACAATAACTGTATCTTTTATATTCTAGTAAAAAATAAATAAATTAGTTTTCAAATAAGATATAATTTGGAAATTTATTGACTTACAATATTCTCTATTATTAGTTCATGGGTTCCCTAATGACACAGCATTATGATTGTTTTATGCTGTATTTTTTTCATTATTGTTCTTCATATTTTATGATATTTAAGATTGGAGTTGGTTAAATCAATATAACTAGTTTTAAATATTTTTTGTGCGATTCAAAATATGAAAGTTTATAAACTTGTATTTATTACTATATAAATTTTAAGATCCTAAATAAATATAAAAAACACATGCACGCACTAGAATAGGTCTCTGTTCTAAAACACTTGCATGCTATATACTATCAAATAGTAACTCATCTGTGTAAAATAATGTTAAATTATTAAAATTCATTTTAAAATTATGAAGGAACTGAGTGACATTGAGAATTTCACTAAAATTTTACAGTTAAGTAATAATAAATGCATTCAAAACTCTTTGAACATTAATAAACTTATTTACCTTTTGATAACATTTCATTATTCTCTATTCATTTACAAGAATATTTTAGACTTGATTTGTCTTTCAACAAAACTTATGTATACATATTCATCCCTCAGTCATGTTATTTATCTACATGGGCTGCACATAAATATGAGCATTAATCTCCTATTGACCTTATGACCACTTTTTTAAAGATATTTTTTGAATAATTGAATAAACAAATTTTATTTTGGATTTCCAATCAGTCACTTTCTATTAGGCATTTGATTATTATTATGTTTTTGTTAAAAAGTAAAATGAGTTAAGAAAGTAACTGAATATTATTCCAAATATTAAGCATCCAGTATACTAGATTTATTGAAATGTTTTTGACAATTGCTAAGTATATCTGCAATATTTTCTATGTTTAAACTTTTCAAGAACAATAACTTTCAAAGCCACAGGTCCTATTGCTAATTCTAGTCATGAAAACAAAAGAAAAACAGGTTATTTACAGTACTATGTTTTACTTAATTTTATTACAGTTAAATTATATTATGATGTGCATATTTTCTTAACTGGTAGTCTAAAAAAATATAAATGATACTGCAGGAATTAAGTGATGTTTAATTACTGAGCAACTTACATTGTTGTTTAATCAGATGATGCTTAATTTTCACTGATTTAACAAACAAACCATGATTGGTGTTGAGCAAATTTTAAGTGCTTCTGATAGAACAAGAACAATGACTGATTTGTGAAATCAATATTCAGAATTACTAAATTTGTCTCTTTTTATTGAACAAAATAGCATTAGTATGATAAAAAGGTCTAATTCTTGAGCTTTAAAAATATTGTAATAATTATTTTAGTTTCAAATACATGTCATATATTTTGAAGTTTGCCTTTTTGTGATATCTCTTAAACTTTCATAAAGTATTTGGCAATAGAACAAAACTAACTTATGTTTAATATTGGCTAACTTATCTGTAATGTTAGAAGCAATTTTTACACGGTTAATAAAAATTCCAGAATTGTCTAAGTGTTTAACTTCTACTAAACCTAAGACTTGCAAATATTAAACTTTTTTTTATATGAATGATTATATAATAAATAGAAAATCAGTAGCATGATTTGTCATACTTTTTTAATAAACAAACAGGGGTAGAAACTAAAGTCAAACACTGGATAAATCCAAAAAAGAAATAAACTAGTAGATTTCACATAAGCAAACAAAAAAATAGCAAGTTTTATAAACAAAAAAAAATTGTCAGCAGATTATGCTAAGTTTGTTTTATATTCTCTTCATTTTGACATTTTTTTAGAGACTTTGAATTTCACACAACTTTCACCATTATTTGTTGCTAGATTATTTCTCTGAATGCATCAATGACACAAATAACACCACTGACACTGAAATTTGATGAGTTGAGTGAGCAGAAACTTATAACTTCTGCTAAATTGACTGTACATTTTATTTACATATTGTTAACTTGTGTATTTCACTATGACCTACTGAAATTCAAAGACTCACACAATATTCTGGCACCAAAAGGCTTAGGGAGGAGACTGTATAGATTATGTAGTCTATACAACTGAGTATGATCCATTTTTACAGACAAAAATTATTCAACAAAACAGAAGGCACCCTTATCGAAAATACAGTGTTATTCCACACACAATCCTTAATTAACATGTATAGCCTCAGAAAAGTTTGGGAGTCAGATTATTTAAACATCTAGATAAAAACTATAATAAAAAACAACGACAAAATATTTCTGTTAGTCACCGAGGCTAAGTGGTTCAAGATTTATTTCCTAAAGTGTAATGTATGAAAAGACAAGATTACACAGTTTCCTATTTGAGAACACATATCACGTGTTTGTTAAATTACCGTCATAGAAATGAAGAGATTGTGACAAATAAAATTAGACTTAGGACTGTTTCAAATTTTTTGGAGATTGTTTCTCGGAAGCCCTTTGTAACACAAAAATTATGAAAAGCTGATGAAATTGTCACCTTTCATTGGAATAGATTATCTAGAAGCAATTTTTTTGAAACTAAATAGTGTTTCTCTCTATCACTCTGGAAATAAATTAATAGGGTATGATAATATGTATCACTCTGTCAGAAAGATTGAAAATTAAAAACTTTGAAGTGTTTGCACATAAGATAATGCACTAAAAGCAAAAAAAAAAGAAGAAAAAAGTCTCCTCCACATAAAAATAACTCTTTCTAGGGATAGCTTTTGACAATACAGTACTTACAAAATACTGATAATCCACTAACTTAACTGTTGAGACAGAAAAACATTTCTAAGATTTATTTCTTTTGGAGACAAAAAAAGGAAAAAAAGACAGCTGCATAGCTTGGTAACATGACTGTCCAGTTAGGTCAGAGGTCACTTAACTAGCTCATCTTCTTCAACATCCCATTGACTTAGGAAACAGATCTAAGGTGAATATGGATGGATGATAGCCACTTTCTTGCCACTCTTCTTACAAAACAGAGCCTCCTAGTGGCAAGAATGGACCAAGAAGGTGATACAGCTATGAACATGAACTGACAGAAGTGTTTAAGAGGCTAATAAGTTTTCTGTGTTACTACAATGTTGAAAAGACTGTCTCCAGTGGTATCTTTTCTCTGTTTTCCTTGACACTAGTCATACGATGTACTTTTCTTTGTATCTGATATGAACTATTTTCTGTTGTGAAATTTCTAGGATGTACAATAATGCACTTGTGTATAGGGTTTTATTAGTTTTCATCAATCTGTCTCAGTTAAAATGCACCAGTGAAAAAAAGAATGCCACAATGTGCAACTTGAGGGCAGCACCATGCAAGTAACTGTCACTGCAATGAGCACTTCATGGGTAGACATTTACCTGAGCAGAAAGGAGGTTTCCCTTGACTAAAGCTTCACATGGAGGCTAAAGAGCATATAATTTGAATGAGTGATCAAGAAAATATACACAAACTCATATTTGATATGAGATATAATTAACATATGTCTAACTTATACAATTTCTTTGTGACAAAATTCAAATAAAATTTACGCATACTAATGCTAAGTATACATATAAAGAACATTAGTATGAATATTATTTATGATTTTAACTTTATACACAAGTGCCAAAATACTATAATTAGTATGGTATTCATTAGAAAAAACTCAATTTATCCTGACATGAGTGTTAAGCTTTGAAATAAATTGTATCCCATTACAGCTTAGTGGTGGAAAGTGTCTCAAGGAGTCCTGATCTCCCCTACTTCTAAGAAGTAGGTGTTTAATCATAAAGTTATAGTGTTTTATACTTTAAAAATTTCAAATTGTTTCCAATGAATCAACATGGTAGCACTCAAACTGCTATCAAATTTCTATTAATAATTAAAAGTTTAAGGAAAACTCTCACACAAACACTAATACTAAACAGGTTGCATAAACTAATTCCAGATAAAAACCAGTTTGTTTATTACACTGACCTACAGACCTACTGCGAGGTTAATTCCTGTGATGTGGCTGACAATCTGAGACTTCTGTACACTTTGCTACAGCTGATCCTCTAAGTGGTTAGGAGTCACCTCCACATTTTTTTTTCTAGTGGGAAGTTCTTCTAACTGGCAGTGATGATGATGGTGCAAAGGACCTTGAACAGATTAAAAAGAAGAGCCTAAACTGTAAAAAGATCTCATTTTGAAATTGGTGAAGAATATTCTAGACTGTAACATATAACTGTGTCTGAGAGAACAAGTCTGATTACTAAAATGATTAATTTTACATAAAAAGAGAAGGTAAATACACAGACTGATACATTAAAGAACAGTATGTTTATATGCTTATTCAGTATATAAGAGAGTGAGTTTTTATTTGTGACTAATGGAAAGAAGTTCAAGACTAAAAGTAAGCTTTTATTAGAAAACCTGATACAACTGTTATAGCAAATGCAACTATTGAAGAAGAGTAATAAGTCTTTAAAATATGATTCCTGTTAGTATTCCATTTCTATAAGGTGAAATAATGCCCTAGTGAATTACAGACTGAATAACACAAGTCACTTGAAGACTTGCATTGAATATCAAGATCTGTAATCTAACTTAGTTGCAAACCAAGTGACTTCTTAGAAAAACAGGGGATTTCCTTCAATCATTCCATGTTAGACATATTGATAAAGCAACACCACTCTCTATTCTCAGTGCAGTTGCAAGAAGGTTAAAAAACATATAAATTAAACAACAAGAACAACTTCACAATAAAATAAAAATTTGCACTGCTTATCACACATTTTTATTACTTTTAATGCCACACACCACATAAAAAACTAACCAATCAGATAAAAAAAATGGAGTATCTTACAATCTTCAACTGGCTTGTCTTCAAATAGGAATTCTCCTGACTGTATTGATTTCCGTGGGATGTTCATTCCATTAATGTTGATCACATCTTCTCTCCTAAATAGAGCTGCAATTTCTTCAAATGTCTTATTTTTGGTCTCAGGAACCTTTTTGTATGTGAATGTCCAGAAAATTGCTAGTAGAGCCGTGAAGGGAAGAAACGTGTAGCTTTCAAAACCAAACTGAAATATGAAATGAAGTTTAAGAATCAGTGGTGTTATAACAATTTAGTATCTACATTCTAATCTATTGGCATAAATATATACTTTGAAACTTTTAGCTTAAAACCTGTAAGCAAGTCTTGTGCTTGAAAAAATTTCAACATGATGGAGTGATGTTTTAAAACTACATTGCTAAAAAACAATAACTGAATTTAAAACTGATTATCAGTATAGTAACTTTTTATAAACTGAAGAGATGTTTTAGAAAAGTTCAAATATTCTTGAAGGAGTATTTTCATAATCTTAATGAAGGTTTTACTTAAGATTTACCAGCATCATTGGAAAGACCAGACCAACAACAAAGTTGGCAAACCAGTTGACTAGCATAGCTATACTTATGGCTGCAGGTCGTGGCCCTTGAGAAAACAGCTCTGCAGTTATCATCCAAGGGATAGATCCTATAATGAAAGGGAGAAAGTACAATGTACATAGTTAATAAGATATGAGCTTAAATGAATTATGAGCTTATTTTGAGCTATCCAAGGCGTAGGTTAACGTTTTTGTGATTTTATTAGTTTTCTTTTTTAAGGCATTATTATTGATTTACTAAATTAATGAATCTAATTATGCCAATTTTTGCAATTAAATAAATTATGGAATTAAAAAAGAACTAGTGTATTTGTACTCAAACTATATACTTTTACTTTACCTTATATCAACAGTTTAAGTATATCTATTTTCTATAATGGAATGCTTCCATTGATAAGTTATAAATTTATTATATATCTGTTCTTAATAATAAAATATTCAACATCAGTGCAGTACACATTTTGTTTAACAGTTGTATAAGATAATCTTATCAAAATCAAGTCCAGGTCAGATTTAAAGCTTTTGACTTAGTTTGTTTATTATTTCAGGTAAGTGGAGTTACTTTTCTTTTTCCATTAAAAATAAAAGTTTTAAATTGCTGTTGATGGTGGAATTGTATTATGTCTATCTTCTTAAATATTATTCTTTTAAGCTGTTTTTATTTAGTTAAGAGTTGCATAATTTTCAATTGTGGTGCATAATCATTGCATCATTTTTATTTCTTCTGCATAATCAGCAATTTTATGGTACATAATTTTAAATAGTTGGCTGCATAACTTTAATTTTTCTTGCTGCATAAAAACTGGGGCCCTGATATGAAATCCACACATGTAATTCAAATATTTACATTGTATTTTCACTATATTCAAATCAAAACAGGTTTAATCTTTTTTGTGTGCCACCAAATTAATCACTAAATGTATATATGTAACAAAAATTGTGTGATTTTACTGAATGCTAATGTCAGAGAAGAAGAGTAATCTTATACAATATTCTAATTATTATTAGGAAGGAAACTACTTTAACACAATGTTAATTACAATTACAACTAGTTTAATTACAATGTGTAATTAAATACACATCATTGACTTATTGTTAAAAACTGAAGATTTCTAAAATACCATGGAACAATTGGAAGTACAGACAGTTTTGGCTTCACTTTTTAGTAGTTTCTTGAACAATTCAATATCAAGTTATAAAACATATAATATAGAATGATGAATTTCAATGGAAAAACTGAGACATAACCAGTACTCTGAAGACTGGGATGTAACGTGGGTTCTTAGAGTAAAATAACTGTCTCTATTCATCAGAACTAAGAGAAGAAATTCACTAACCTGGCCCAATTGCAAAGAAGACGACGAAGCTAAGTGTGCTAACAACACTGACATACATAACCCATTCATAAAGAAACTGTAAAGAGATAGACAAAAAGATTTTGAGCAATGATTCTACCAATAAATGTTTAATTTTGCATAATTTACATAATCATGTAGATGTAGTTAACTGTTGTTTTTTAATCACAAAATGTTGATCTCAATATGCAAGTTTAGTTTGGAACATTCTTTGAATGTAATCTATCAACTATAAGAAATATTTTCTGAATATGAAATATAAGCATTGACTATTTCTAGAGAATATTGAAGTGAATAACACCTCATGGTTGATTGCTCAAATTCTTAATAGGATGCAAAGGAAATAATTGGATGTCTTATAAGCTCTATGAGCTAACTTTTTTCAAAAATATAAGCAAAAAAAGAAAAAATATTACTTAGCTTCAGGTATAAAATATTAACACTAAATCCTGTGATAACGTTCTACTTAAACATACTTGGCGTGTACAAACTGAAAATGGCACCTTAGCGACACATGGCTAAGTGATCAGGTCAGAAACCCTAGGTCCAGGCACTTCTGTTCTTAATTTATAAATTTGTTCTGAGGACAACCACTCAGAAGCACCTACAACCTAAGCAGCTACTCTTAACCAAATAGCAAAATTGAATGTCATTTTCGTAATGTGCTAAAAGTGTGGAGAGGGATATCCAAACCCAGAGAAATACTACATGTGTAAAGATTACTTTAACAACTGATTTGTGGGAAAAGACACTCTTTTTAAAGATTTTGATTAACCTTTGAAAATTGATTTATTGTGCTATTTTATTTGAATATATGACATTTGTGAGAAAAGACACTCTTTTTAAAGATTTTGATTAACCTTTTAAAATGGATTTATTGTGCTATTTTATTTAAATATACGACATATGTGTTAACTGTAGATCAGTAATAGATGTGAAGAATGCATGAATAATGTTTTTGGATGCAACTTTGGGTCAAAGAGATACAACTTTCCAAACATAGACCCCTGTTGAAATAGTCATCACTTTTTTAGAGTAAGATCCATGACAATAACATGTGAAATAGTGATGACATAAGTGTAGATTAGAGCATATTTAAATTTATCATGGCATCTTATGAAGTTTTGGGTCCAAAACATGCACATTTATTCTAATGTAAGCAAAACTATTATAAAAGATTGTGTTCAGTATCAAAATGTAGGAGTGAGCTTTATTAGTCACTGTAGCCCCATAATAGGGAAACTGTACTGATAAAATAAATAAAAAAAATATGTATTAGACCTCCATAATTTTCTGGTCTTTTGAGAATGGTTCACTAGTGTTAGTAAGTTTGTTTTCAATCAACTGACTGCCTCTTAATTGCCAAGGTTTTCTGACAACTCTATGAAATGGTCAAGTAGAGTATTGTTCTTTACCTTGGCCATATCTCAACAAATAACCCTTGATGTTGATAAATTGCCAATGTTGTTACTAGCACAAGCATCATTTGGCAGTACGATGCTATCAGTGGTAAGATCATAGTGTGTGCTATATCACTGGCAAAAACTTTTCATGACATTATTGTCTTCCTGTGCAGTGCTATCATGACAATTGGTCAAATATGTTTGACACTGTTTATTCTGCTTAGTAAACAGCTTGGTTAAATAGCTAATTATGTCAGAAATCAAAGGAAGTTTGTAATATTGTAGATGGTCTGCCTCTAACTGTATGATCGAATGCTCAGTTAAAAATCTGTTGTATTTCTCAGCCACATGGCAATCCAAAAATAGTTCAAGTAGCAGTCTTTTTTTCCTCAGCCATAGGATGGGCAGAGGGAATTTAAAAATTCATGCACATAGAAAAGTAATCCCCCTTCTCCAATTTTTCTATAAAGAAAGGTGATCCACCCCTTAGTTCTGTGCACAGAAAAGTACCATTCCTCTACAAATGTGGAAATTCACAATTAGATACTGAGGCTTACTCAGTTAATTTGTAAAAACACATTTCATAGCAGTTATTATGTCTAAATACTTCGATGTTTCTGATATTGATTACACTTTTCACAAAAATGTCTTAAAGCATATTTATTCTTAATACATGAATTACTTGAAACGTAATTGATACCCGGCAAAACACTGAACTAAAAAAAAAATTTTACAGGCTCAGTATTTATAGTCCTATTTCACAGATTAACCATAATTATGGTCATTGGCCACACAAATCCACAACATTAATTGACCACATCCTTAAAAATGACGTCCAATGTGCCAACTAAAGAGGATTTATCACAACTTACATTACTGATCATTTATCTAACTTCATTTTCTTACACATAAACAATATATATACTTGATGAAAATCTGTCCCACTCAGAGAACTAGTGCAGTGGCATATCAGTATTTCCATAGGTGTAAAACTTCATAATCCTTCTATATGTATAATGTGCTTCATCCACTTTTTCTCTGGTTAGGGCCCAGAGATAACCATTTTCTAAAATAAGTATTCCATTTTAAAAAATCAGCAAAAGAATTAAGTCATACTTAAACTTTCCTAGTAGTTGTTCTTTAGACTAATATTATTTGTTAGTATTTTTATGGTTGATAGTTATGACAGTTGTTTAATGTTTTATTGGAATCAAATAGAATTTGTTTTCACATGTACTGGACTTTTGTAAAGGTTATCTCATGACCAGTTCAACTTATTTAGACAATTATGTTTAAGGATGAATCTCCTTTAGTTTACTGTCCATGTACATTTTACTTTGCAATTTGAATTATGTCGATGTTATGATGACTAAGTCCTATATTTGAAAATATGGTACTTTTAGTGTTCAATACTTAACATTTCATTGCAGGAATATTTTGTATGTTTAGGCTATTTTTGCTTTATGCTTATTATTTGAAATTAAACGTACATGTACCGCAGTCATTAAAAGCTATGGAATATTCACTTCCTTTTGTTATGAGTTAAATTAAAGACTCAAATGTTTTGTATCCTCAGACACTGTCTTTCTTTACCTTGCACAAAAAAGTGACCCACCCCTAAATTGCATGCATAGAAATTTTACTACTCTTCCTCATAATGACTACTCCTTCATAAGGACCATTACTTTTTGCACCATACAGAGCATAACATTTTGAAAACCTAGTCCAACCAACTGATAACTTGCTTGAAGTTGGAAATCAATCAGTCTTGCTACTTATTATGACACTAGTAGTATGCATTTCCCTGTTAAACTTTCTGGTACGTGTCTTGTGATACATTCCTTAAGCTCCTAATACACTTTTCTACCAAAATACATGCATATATAGACGAAAATAACAGTTGACCAAAATCATATTATTTGCATAGTTGTACATGCAATGTTAACAGTGCTGTAACTTGGCAATGGTGTAACTGATTTTTAATCTAAAAGTTGGTTTACACTAGAAAGCATATCATAGTCTATATATTTGACTGGATAAAACTTATGTAAAGCACAATTAATTAGATTTTTCAAAGTCATACAAATATGGGTACTTTCTTTCACAAATCAGCTGTTAAATTATTATATTCATAAACACTGTCAAATGAACTTTTAAAGAAGGTTATCAAAATATGAAGTTTTCATTGTTTTGTAAGCACTTTATGCCCATCACATTCAATATGAATATCTGCAACATATAATAAAATGCAATGGTGTTATTCAAAATTAATAATCAGATGGTGCTGGTTATAAATTTAATCAGTTCTTGTAGTATCAATATTCTCTAAGAAACAGTAATTGAAAAATAGAAACATTTACAAAAAGTTCACACATCTTGGTATGTGGCAATTTAATGAATACAGATGGGTTTGTATAAGAACATCAATTCATACATCTTTTTTATTATACTAGTTTTGCAACAGTTTCAAGTAGGAAAATTAATCAACATTCATGAGAGGTGAATTAATGCAAGAATTGTAATTGAGTTAGTCTCTCCTCTCTTTGGTAAAATATTTATACAGGAACAACATTTCAGTAAAGTTCAGTCATTGTTAAGATGGCAAAAGTTTCACTCAGGAACTAAATCTGAGTCAAATTTATTCAATGGTTTAATTCAATGTGAAAGCTTCACTCAGTTTGACCAAGTCAAATCTATTCACCCTTTTAATGTAGTACATAGATTATTAAGGCACATCATCCAAGTACCTTGTCCACTGGTATGTAGTGGAAGATTTTCTGGGTTTATAATCCCCAGAATGTGGTGAAAGTTCCATTCAGGAATTTAATCTGAGTCAAATCTACTCTTTATTTCCATGCTTGTTTAAAGTTTCACTCCATGTTATAAGAGCTGTGATGATGGATATAGACATGCAATTTTGACCCTTAAGCTCAATTTTAAGGAAAAGCATAAAGTGTAAACAATGAAACTGTGTACTACGGAAAATAATATAGTTTAAACTTCTCAATTACAGAAGACGACTAAATGAAACTTACAGTTTTTAGTTTGTAACTGAAACACTGATCTACTTAATTTTTGTTTTTACCTGTGCCAAACAATTACTAATTTTTTGCTTATTTTATTTATCTGTAGCTGGAGCTCATCATAAACTTCTATGATTTACTGTCAGTACTTATAATTTATAATATTTATTTTATACCATCATGTTTAAAATTTTAGTGCTTTTAGAGTTGTATAAATGAACAAAACCATTTTGCTTCTTACTTTATGCAGCTAAGGTCAATCATACCAAATATTACTTACCTTAACAAGTAACGAGATAGTAATGAAAATACTAAAAATGAACATGCCCCCAAGACCATAGAGATGCAATGTTCGTCTCCCTGCCCTGTCCATCAGAGGAATAGAAACCAAGGTCATGATGACCATAACAATACCAATTCCGATAGTGACATACTTTGATGTTGTTTCTGAAAGCCCTGCGGCCATGAAGAGGTTGGTAGAGTAATAAAACACCTATAGTAAATATAAACAAGTAGTATAGATAATGAGAACTCTTGCACCCATCTCCCTCTGAGTACATTCATTTTGTGTATGGAAATCGTTACTAGCAGTGAGGAGGGGTGAGGTGCTCCCCGACCTACAATGAACAGTTTAAATGTTAAAAAACAAGAGAGATGTTAGTTGACCTTCAACTTGCCACATATACTATGGATCAAATGTTTGGAAACAAAAAATGATGTATAGAGGAACTTGGGGGTGAGTACCATAAGGTACAATCTCCCATGCTCAGCTCTAATCTCAGGACTATTAAAATCTTTTGACTCCCTAAACAGATAATTGTTTCTTCTTTAAAAAGGTACAACAGACATTGATAAGAAAGTTGTCTCATAAGTGTATTGGCAGCTTAATTTGTCCTCCTTTTACTGAGAAGTGTGTATGTGTGTATGTACTGCCTGATAAGTCAACTTAGGGTACTTGAATATTAAATATATTGATTTTTTCAGAACAATCATTTACTTTCTTTTTTCTAATTACCTAAGATGCTTTAAAGTGCAATTTTCTCAAAATTTAAGCAGAGGCTCAAATATGACTGCTCTATTGTCATTGCAGTATACTAGAGCAGAACATTTGTTCTGTATTTCATGGCAAAATGGTGCCTCAAGTGTTAAATACTGACTGTATTTTTATGTCCATTGCAGAATTTACCAGGCAGTTATTTTTGACTATAAAATAAGAAAAAAAAAGTTACAGTGTAATTGTTTTGGTGCATCATATTTAGTGTATTATAACATTAATGGAACAAGCTGTTCATTAAAGGTATTTAAATAACTTTAAAATGAAACTCATTTGCTCAGAATACCACTAGAACCAGAACCAATATTCTACTGAACAACCATGACCTTAACTAGCTATAAGGACACCAAGTTCATGTCCTTGATTGTTGTTTTTTGGTTTCCTTCTCTTTCTCTCTCTCTCTCTCTCTCTCTCACACACACACACACACACACACACATATATATATATAATTAAAATTTACAGCTTGAAACCCAAGTTTGACAGAGAAACCAACATGTTGAATGTGCAAGTACCCTATGTTGAGTTATTTGGCAACACACACATTTGCCCTAGTTTTACAGCTATCCTAGAAAAAAGGGCACACTGGCTTGCTAGTAGCCCAGTAGTCATAAGAGACAACTTCCTCATCAGTTTCTGTACTATTATTTTGAAGAAGAAACAAAGATTTTAGTAATCAAGGGATAAGAGTGAAGAAGAATGAATAATATCGTACTCACAGCTTGTCTGTCTGTACATCTTGTATTGTTTCCTAACTTTTGGACTGAAGTGCAAATGTACCCCTCCTACTGATTTGATGCCTTCACAACTTAATAATTACTACACTTCACCAACTTAGTATAGTTCATACAATAACAGTTGTTGTTCATGCAACTGATGATATTAAAAGCACCTAGACCAATACCACATTTGCCATATCTTAGCCAGCCTGATGAGCTTTGGTATGGGGCAAAAGGTCTTGTCAGCATTGAATATAGCAGATATACAGTGTGATTTTGGATATTATTATGTATTCTTCTTTGCTTTCACTCACAAGTTTTTAGAATTGGCGGGACAATTAACCTACTGCAGAATGTTCACTGAATGTGCAGTACACCTGGAAAGCAGCCATGACACTCCAATATATGTTTGCTGATTTATGAGTGGCAGTAAGGGATATTTATCCAGTAGATGTGATTAATGTAAGTGGGTATGTTATTAGCACTGACAAGCAGGCTAGTACACTCACACCACAGAACTAACCATACAGGCTATTACAGAAAAACGTGAATAAAAGTATATGGTGGTGACATGCTCTGGAAAGCCGGCAATATAAAAATACTGTTTACTTCCTGGTTCCATTAAATACATTTTTATTTCCTTAGCCTTAAGCCTGTCCTTCTGACAAACAGATATGTTTTGTTTACTGTTGTAACAACTAGATTGCAACACTTCCTCATTGCATCAACTACTTTAATGATCTGTACATGAAGAAAAATTGTCACTTTGTTATCAAGTCTTGCTAAATGTGACACTATAATGAGCATGACAAAAACCACTCACACAAAATGTTATTTAAAGGTGGAAAAAAAGTTTATTTCAAGTGCTCGTGAGATACTCGTATAAGGATTTATATCTTGAGAATATAACGTAGACACTATTTCCAGCCTAGTTTGTTTACTTTTTTTTTAGAGTCCCTAGATGTAGGCTTGAAAATATAATCATTGCATTTTGATTGAACTTGTTTCTGTACTTTTTTGATGATCCCTATTTCTCTCCTTAAATTAACATTTTTTATTATCTTGTTTCTTGAATTTTTTCTGTCCATTTATGGATAACAAATTTTAAGCTACATACATGCATGTGCATTCAGTTTTTGCCTGCATGTTCTATTATAATTTTTGTGGTTCATGATAATCAAAAGTATGATTAAATCAATTAATGTCCCAAAAATAATCAAAATTAGTGTTTTTGTTTATTATTGTTTTCAGTTATTCTGATTCTCTAAGTAATTGATATTTTGCTATTATGATTACTCATTATTATTTTCAATTAATTCAAGTTTGTTCAGCTTAATCTTTTAGTGTCATGACTTATGAAAATAATCAAATAGTCAAAAAATTAGTGTTTCAGATTATTACTATTTTCAATTAATCGAACTATACAAGTCCCACGTAAGAGTAATCGATTAATTGAATGTACCCGATTGATGAGCCTGGTGATTAATCAATTACCAAATTCCACTAATCAACCAGTTCTATCCACAAGTCAGCCTGCCTCTCAAGCACTGTAAGTAAATTGGACCATATTGACTAAGACATTGTAATTAGTAATGGAAATGCAACTGGAAAGTAACCTACCAGCACTATTTGCTTATAATATAAACTATTATTACTCCTGGTTGCTAACCTGCATGACTTGTAAACCTAAGTGGAATAAGTGTGAAAATATGAATGACAAAATTATGTACTTTTTAACCCATTATGTGCAGCCTGAATCACACGGAGCTTGGCCAGGCCTGCTGGGGAAATGCATTTTTCATATATCAATAGATAATATGTTTCTTCGGCCTCTGGAAGCTCCCAGTAGAATATAACAAGTCTTATTACTATGCTCACTTATAGGATAGGGAGGGGGTGTTTGCCCTTTGGTGCTCACAGAAGCTCCCAAGCACAACATGAATGTACCCGGGTGTTGTTTGGTGAACCAGACCCCATTATTTGTACTACTAAATATTTAGATATCCCTGTGTGCTCATGAATAAATACATATGCAATACTATATGGTATAAATCGGAACTGCATTTCTTTACTTTGCTCTAAAACTCAGCAACATATAAATAAGAACAAATGTACCCTAGCTTAAGTTTTTTTTTTTAACTTTATAGGTATTCATACAATGAGTCAGTCATTTCCAAAGTTATTATTTTCCTAAATGAAAATATATTTCCAATAGGTACTTCCCTCCTCTCACAAGATTAACTTTTCTCGTTTTATGCTGCCCTCTATATGCGAACTTTTTCAGAAACTCATGCCACAAGCCTTCATCCTCCCTCTGTTGGAATTCAAAGTTCCAACACGTCTCTCATTCAAATCATCATGGGTCACCTCTCCACCAATAGGAGAGCACTATTGTCATGTGATGCATGTGGCTCCCTCTATGTGCAACTACTGAACTATCACTTCGAAATTTGGCAGAAGACGTGAGCACCGGCAGATTGTGAGAAGGATAGGTGGGAAGTGTGAATGGAGGGAAGTACCTATCGGTAATACATTTTCATTTAGAAAAATTATTTCTTCTGATAAGGTACTCTTCCCTCTGCTCACAAGATTAGCTTGAAACCGGTGCAAGGGAAGCACAGGCATATCCCCCAGAAAAATCTGGAGGACACCCCTGAAACGAGAGGAACAGATAAGATAATCTGAAGAGGGGTACCGCACCACATCTGAGCCAGATATCTCTTCGCCAGGAACATCGACATGATCAGGAGGATCAGGATAGTTTAGCAATGTGATCTTAAACAGAAATCAGAATCACTCAGTCCCATGATAGAAAGTGGGCAAGTGAGGATGTGTCCCATGGTGTAGAGTAGCTAGGGTGTGATGGACCACACTTGGTAAGTCAACTACATCCTAAATTTCATTTGCTGGGTACAGACATCCTCACGAGGGTAAGATGAGGATCATACTGTCTTCACCTGAAGTTCCAGAGTCACAAGGGAACCTAACATTTAACTCCAGGAACTCGCAGGGTAGCCTAATTCCAGGGATCCGGGAGTGTGTCATCCAGAATCTGAGGGAAGTCCATTGCATGCACTCAACCCCCGTGACTGTAGAATAGCCACAGGCGGCAGACAGTACCCCGAGGAAGCAGAAACAGCAACATGGTGTAAGTAATGGGAGATGAACGTGTGTGTAGTCGTCCATATGCCCGATCTTAGAATCTCTTCCAATGGCTGAGGAAAACGAGAGGCAAGGGAGAAGGTAAGGAGACAGATTTGTTTGTTTGTTTTTTGAATTTTGAATAAAGCTACATGAGGTCTATCTGCCCTCGCCGTCCCTAATTTAGCAGTGTAAGACTAGAGGGAAGGCAGCTGGTCATCACCACCCACTGCCAACTCTTGGGTTATTCTTTTACCAACGAATAGTGGGATTGACCGTCACATTATGATGCCCCCACAGCTGAAAGGGCGAGCATGTTTGGTGTGATGGGGATTCAAACCCGTGACTCTCAGATTGCAAGTCAAGTGCCCTAACCACCTGGCCATGCTGGGCATGACAGATTTGATGGGAGGAATGTGAAAGTGATCATGTTGGGAAAGAGACAAGGAGGAATAGGCCAACTGGATCAAACGTCTAACCCAATTTGTCAGGGTATATGGGAAAAGATCACAAGAAGAGATAGGTTGCCAGAGGATCAAAAGGTGGGAACAAAGACCCCGGAAGGAGCCATGCAAGCAA